CAGCCATTCTCCGCCCTGACGCCCTCCCCCCCCCCCCCCGTGGTTCGTGGAGGGATGAGCCGAGTCCGCTCCCGTTCCCTGGAAGCATCGTCTGGCTCCATTGAGGATCGGGGGTGTCCAGCCTCCGTCCACAAACAGTCTCGTCCAGGCTGTTGGCGTCACTGGGATGGGAAGAGCAGACGGATGCTGTACCGAGAGCTAATTTGGCTGCTGTTGTCGTGCTGACGCCTCCCAAAAGCGCCTGGCAGAGCCATCTGCTGCCATTCATAAGTAGCCCCTGGCTTCCCAGGCTGCGTCACACGCCCGTCTCGCCCGCCTTACTCACCGCTTCCTAAAACGAGCCTGCAGCCCACGTGGCCGCCCGGAGACGGCACCTTCCTCCTCCCACCCCGCGCCCGGCAGAGCGGAGCGAGCCCCGGCAGGCGCGGTGCGGCGGGCTTTGGTGTCGCGGTTCAGATTCGGGCTGGATAGGCGGCTCCGCTCGGCTCTCCGCTGCGTCCGGAGCGGCAGCCCTGCCCACCCCGGGGCTCCGTGTCACCCCAGGCGTCTTAACGTGGCCTTCAAAGTTAAATGAGTTAAATCATCCTGCAAATGATTCTCGGCGCTCTCCCTGACCGTGCTTGAACCCATTTGAGCCGATCGCCGGGCGAATCTAGGTCTTAACAGTCTAAAATTCCTATGAGTCGTGAAACTGTAACGCTGGGAAAGAGGTGCTGTCCGCACCGCCGCTGCGGCTCGAGCCCAGCCTGCGTTCGACGTCGGAGACCCCACGCAGGAGACGCAGGCCCACAGGAGCGCAGGCTTTGGTACGGCCGCCCCTCGGTTTGGTGGCGGTACTCGACTGAAGAGGCTTCTCTTTACGGCCCTGGGAGGTCTCCTCTTTCCTCCTAACACCCTGGTCAAGTCCTGGGAGAGGCGGAAGGCGCTCGGTCTCCCTTGTTTCTGCGGTACGAGGTTCTCCCTCTTCTCAAAACGCCTCTACCGACTCCCTTTCGGTTCAAAATCCTCCAGGGGTAGCTTAGCACCCTCTCCCGTGTCCGTGGCAATGTCTCCCCTTCCCACCCGAGCCCTTCAGTTGATGCAAGAGGAAAAAGTCTGGAGGGCAACGATGTTGTTAGAAGTGGGATTGTCGAGATCGGAGGCGTGAAAGTAAGGTCTGAGCACCGAGAACGTTGCCGCGGAGGAGGGAACGGTCACCTGCGCGCTGAGTATCTGAGCTAGGATGAAACGGCCCCAGCTCGCTCCTAGGGCTGGGCAGCGGGAACGTTTCTGGCCTTGGCCGCGGTCTGTCCGGGAAGGCGGCGATGTCTGTCGCTTCAGGGGCTTTAGGAGCAGGCCAGAGGCCTCCCCTGGGGACAGCCCGTGCCGGGCGGCTCCTGCCCGGCTGTCTGGTTTTGGGACCTAGGGCTCTCCGTGCTCCGCGTTTGTGCGACGATGCTCTGCACGGCAAAGCCCTGTCCCTGCTCCTCAGCGCGGCGTGTTTTCTTCTCTTGCAGCTCTTGGGGCAGCTGGAAAACACAGGACCGCCTCCAGCCGACAAAGAGAAGATCTCGTCTCTCCCGACGGTGACAGTAACTCAGGAACAAGTTGGTAGGTGAAATCAGTTGCCGGTGTCCGACGCCACTTGTCTCCCGATGCTTTGACGGACGCACCCTGAGCTCCCCCGCTCCCTCTGCCAAGGATCAGCCTCTTCGCTGCGTCCTTGAGCTTCCCTGGCCGAGGCGGGAGGGAAGGAGGCAGCGCTGCTCCGGCCTCCTGAATTACTGCCTGCACTCGGGCTGGAAACGCTCGTGTCGTCCAGCTCGGGAGATCCTGAGCTTTGCTCCTGCTGCCGTCTCTGGCGTTCGGTTCTCCCGGGAGTCTCGGCTCTCCGCCGATTCAGGCCGTCGGCAAGGCCCTCCCTCCTTCCGCAGCGTTTGCCCAGGCCCCGAGCGCTGCCTTTTTGGCCTACCGACCCCCCCCCGATCGCTTTGCCTCCTTTTCAAATCTTCTGTTTGTGCTGCTGTTGACGGTCTCGTTAGAGCTGGGCTTGGCGCGTTGCTTTCTCCCCTCCCAGGCTGGCTCACAGCGGGGCTGGCAGATGAGGCTCCGAACGTATTCCTGCCGAATGCCGAACCGCTCTGGAAGTGTCATGTAGACCTCGCAGGTTCCCGCGGTGCGGCTGGCAGCAGAGACCCGTGGGTTTCTCCTAACGCTTCTGCTTTTGCAATTAGCTCATCCCGGGGGTTTTTCTCCCGGTGTTTGCAGAAGGCCGTCTCCGAAGCCTGCTCAAGGGCTCCTTTTCCCTCCGAGCTGCTGTTACTGGGAACTGAAATGCTCCGTTAAGACAAATTGTTTGATTAGAAAAGCCGTTTCCGCAACAGATATTTTTGTCGTCTGCTTTTTATATATACCCGTGTCTCCTCTTGTCGGGGAAGCCAAGGAGCGTCTGAATTTCCACGTCGCAATGCCCGGACTCGCCTGTTTGAACTGACAGAGCTCGGGCCGTGCCCTGGCAGTCGGGAGAGGCTGGGGGCTCCGTCTCCCCGCTGCCTGTGGCTCGCGACGTCTGCGTTAGCTTCACGGGCTCGCTAGGGAGGAAGAGGGGTCGGGTTTTCGCCGTCTCTCGCGGTCGACGGCACGCAGGCAGCCCCGCGGGGGGA